ATCTGGACCAAGTCCTTGCAGCATGTAGGCGATGAGTTCTTCATCCTCTATTCGCTTGCCAATGGCAGCAAGTGTATCACCAAGATGTTTTACTTTACGAAAGTAGTCAGCAATTGTCATGTCCTTTTTCTGGATAGTAGAGAGTTCCATACGGATCTGCATTGCTCTTGCTCGAGATGTGGAAGCAAATTGTCGCTCCAGCGTAATCCAGGCTTCTCGTGCAGTGGTGATTCCAACCATCGTGCTGAGAACCTCCTCAGTGACTGATGAGTTGATGAGGCTGAGTACCAGCTGGTCCTGGGGGTACCAGACTGTGAACTCAGGGTTGATGATAATTTTGCGATTCCCTGTTTCTTCACTTGGTTCAACGGCGATCGTCTGGCTTGGTGCAGGCATGGATCCATCCACAAAACCAACAAGGTTTTGGCTACGCAAGTAGGGAAGGATTTGGGTAGACCACAGTAGATAATTTTCTTGTGTAAGCTTAACACTAATCACCTGACTGATCGACGGAGAAGACATTGTGTTGAATGGGATTGACATGTCTAACAGCAGAGGCTATGGATCTCGTGGATCTTATTTCTGCTCTGATACCATATCAAGTTTATGCAAAACTGTACCTCACACTATTGAGGACATATTCTATTTATATTGGCAAAAGATTAACTAATAGATCCGATTTCATAGGAAACTAACGAAGTAAGCCTATTCTTATGGCATGACTAACTTCAAGCTATTCTAATGGATTGACCAATTCTAACACGGACAACCTCGGGTTGGAGACCCCAAATTTGGAGAGTTTATGGCCAAAACATTCTCGCAATACAATATTGGATTCCACAGGTTCGTTTATGGGTTTGACATGGTCCCTCGGCTACCCCTGGATGACAAGGCCTCCATGTTCAAACACTTCGGACCCTGTATTTATTTCGACTTCTTCTATAAAGCCAAGGTAATTAATTAATTAATCAATTAACAAAATAATTCTTTACAATCAAATCTAGATTGAAAAAAAAAAAATGCTTTTGGTGGGGCTTTCAGATTCTTGAAGAAGAGCCATTCAAGAACTATTTCTCGATAGTGGGAGCAGTGATGATGCGAATTCGTGCATTCCTGGAGTTGGGAAGAAGCTTAATAATTGTACGGATAAAGGGAAAGGAGTACAAGGAAGGAGTGCCTTTGAGAATGATGAGGGTGTTTGGATTGTTGGCGCCTGGAGTTAATGCTCATTGCCCTCAAGATTATGTCAACTCAACTCGGTTGGGAACCAAAGGCTTCCTGGTTTCTCCTTCCTAAAGGCAGTAGGAGGATGTGAAGACTGAATGGGTTCCTTCTCATATAAATAAAACGAAAATATAATGGGTGTTATATGTTAAATAATAAGTGTGATGAAATGAATATGATTCCAATAAATGTAACCGAATAATAAGTTTTATGTTCCTTAAATTATTATGTTATGTTCAAGTGTTTGTGTGTTGCTATTTTGTTGGTTTGTTGTGGTTTCAATTGTTTGCACATCTCTAAGGAATAATAATTCTACAATCTTAAAAACATATAACTTTGAATGTAAAGAAGTTGGACAATAGTGAATGATAGATTTTCAAAACATATAAAAAACAGAATAGTAAACAATGTCAAAGATGTGATTCAAAAAAGGGGATATATTGAAGACTTGTGATATCTCATATACACATAAACAACTTATGACTAGAGATGTAAGGATTCAAAATAAAAATTATTGGTTGCCGAAAAACGAGCGAGAATTCCGGAGTTCTGGCAACTCTCTCGAGCACATGCTCCCCGATCCCCACGCCTCGCAAAGCAACACTAAATCAGTCCTCAGCCTTCCGAGAAACCACCTGCAGAGGATACAGAGAGGAAACGAAAGGGAGAGAGAACGAGAGAAAGAAATCAGATAACACAACGCGGGAGGGGAAGAGAAAGGAGAAATGACCATGAACTGAAGAAAAACGGCGACAAACAAACGTCGGTGCGACCCAAGTTCAGAATATTTTGATACGATATGTTATAGTATGAAGCTGAGTCTGCGACATTTGTTTGATCATCCTGTTAAAGACCTTTGCACTTCTTTGACATTAGAGCAGTATGACAACCGAACAATCAACAGCATAAACTTAGATCAACAAAGACTATTGGTTTAACTTCAGAACTCTCTAACATAATTTAAATCATCTAAAAAGTTAAAAGCAAAAATATCCTGAAAAATAAAAATACAAAAACTTTAAAGGTGTTTTATAATTAATTTTTTCACTCTGTTAGTTCACTCTCTCCTCAATGTCTTACCTTTACTTAAAAATCATTTTAAAAATATAGTAAAATATTTAGTAAGATACCCCTAATTGAGGGTTAAATATGTAAAAACTATAATTGAGGGACCTTAATAGATAGCTATTAGAACACACCAAAGTTAACTTTTCCACGAAATGTTTTCATTATCCAAGATGACCATGGTAGTAATTACTATTAACCAATGTCAACTAGCTAACATCGCATCAATGTGATTATGATGGTAATTATGAAATAACCAACGCACAAATATCGACACATAGTTATCCCCGCTTGAAGGTGACTACGGTAGTAATAGCAAAATAATCAATACTGCCACTCATTAGTTATCATCATCTTAGTTACGAAATATCATTCCACAACAACAACTAAGTCGTGAATAAAATAAGTCCCAAAATATTTTATAAATCATGTTCATATCATAATTCACCGACAATAAAACCCTTTAGAATTAAATAAAGAGTTTAGAGATTTAGCCTGTGCTTTGAAGTAATTAAAATAAGTCCCAAAATATTTTTAATAAGAGCCATATTCTAAACAAATTTAGTGATAAAAACTTTCATAGAATCTTAAATTTAGATTTTCAAATAGGATTTAGAATTAAGTTATAAAACTAATAAATTTAAATTTTAAATATAAAATTTCTGGTCCAAAATTTCAAAAACATAATTACCTAAATACAATCCTATTAAATCTAAGATTTCCAACGACTTCAAGTCTATCAATTTTATTTTAATCTTTACAAAATTATTTTTAAAAAAATTAGAGCTTTACAACTCACGTTCAAAATTAGGGAATTAATTAGCCACAAGCAAAATTGATTATGCACTGTCAAGTTTAATATAATTGTAGTTAATAATTTTAGTAGGAGTATTCAATTTTTAAATAATTACATTTAATTATTTAATTCAATTAATAATTAATTATTTAGAATCAATTAATTTATATTAAATCGAAACAATAAATCGTTTTTTTATACCATAAATCACCCTTCTCCAGTTTCTTCATAGAAAATACTTTATTCGTCGGAAATTATTTTTAATGCTTCAAAATTATATAAGATTTTAAAAGTTGTCATAAAATATTAAACCAAATAGAGTATTAAGTAATATGGAAATATTAGGAAGAAAAAAGTGGAAAAGAATTTTATTTTATTTTTCTTTTTGAGACAAATATGTTAGAGAAAAAAATAAATTAGAGCAACAGAAAATCTGTTTTATAAAACTATATATTTTTCAAATTGAAATTTACTTATAATTCAAAAAACCGTTGAGGGTGGATCACAACCTTCCATTTTAATGCAAAGATGTATTCAACAAAATAATTTCACAAATAAATGCTACGAGTCTATTTAGTGCATGAATAAATTTACGCAATAAATACAACCGATGACGCAATATATTCAATTTACAATTTTAAATTAATTTTGAAAATATGACTAATATAACCACCTCCCTTTTTAATATGGGTTATTAAAATATTTATTTTATTTAATTCAATAATTTAAGTTGTTGGGTCATTCTAAAAACACAAGAGGTAGTAAGTCGAAACCCTCGTTTAATACAGATTTACGCCGTACACACATACTAGTGAGAATATTTGTTGAAACTACCATACCTTAAATGTACGAAAGTTCTCTATTTATAATCATTCAGAGAAGCAAATAAATTACAAGAATATGGAAGAAGAATAAATGAATACAATATATTTGTTTATAATAGAAGTCAAATATGATAGTAAGCGGTAATGGAAGGCAAATATATAGATATTTGCGTATAATAAAATATCAAATATGATATATATGGTAAGTTATAATTCAGGACTAAATATCCTTAACAACCCCACAAGTTGAGCATTGGATGGATCTAAAAAAGGTCGAGAAACATTTTTTGTGAAGATGTCAGCAACTTGTTTTGGAGGAGATGTCTGGTTGGGCGGTATAGTGTTTTCTTGGCCATCAAAAACTGGAACGGCAATGCTGGCTTGACTCTGACAAGAATATGCCTCCTCCGCAGTAGCAACTTAGAGAGAGGGCAATTGGGAGGGCCTTGGTCAAGTCAAAAAGCAAAGTGAAGGAAAAACCGGCATAAAAATTTCATAGAAATATATAAAAAATTGCAGTTAAAAATAGAACGGGAAATCGATAGAGAGTAGAATCAGAGAAAAGAGATCCATCAGCAACGAGGGGTTGAGAAACAACCATGTGTTATGGGGGTATAGAGACTAAAGGTAGAGACTTTAGAATTAAGGCGACACTCTAGAGAAAGTGGCTAGAGAGAGGAAGAAGAGAGTAGAAACTCAAAATGTGGACTCTATGGTCTATTTTAGACAACGAAAGGAAAGAAAGAGAGGGACGAAGAGTGTGGTTTGCACCTTATAGACTAGTTTGCTATCAAGCGAATGAGCACGAGTAAGAATATCTCAAGCATATTTTAACTGACGAATAAAAAGACTCTTACAATTGATTTTTTTAACACTATTGGTAGGAGTAGAAGTTAACATCCAATTTAAATAGAAAGAGAGGGAGCCACACCCTAAAATAAGGGAGGAATAAAAAATAAAATGTGATACAGAGGTATTTACCTATAATAAAAAATAAAATATGTATATATATTAAATATTTTTTTTAACACATAACAAGCTGCTAATACTATTTATATGACCTCGACAACATCAAGTCCCCTCATCAAGACATCCTCACTACATCTTGATATCCGGCCATGGCTGCTGTTATTGATGATATCTGCAACAAGGCCTTCTCCAAAAGCTTCATGCTTTTCAAGCCCGAAGACCTTAACGTCTTCGACTTGTTAAAATTCTTGTTCTCCCCCAAGCTCCATGAAAGAAAGTTTGTAGAATCCAGCCACCCAACCGAGTTCAATTTCGCCCACAGAATTCTCATCATCATCACCATCATCGTCCACAAGCTCCTCCAATTGTTTGCCGCCCCACTCGCCTTGCTTGGCTTCGTCGTTGAGTTCAGCCTCAACTTTTTGTCTGCCAACGGCGGCGTTTTTGGCCTCCTCAATATCTTCCGATGTCACCCCCACTTCCCTCCCATTTACTTAATTAATATTCTGTTTTAATAACCTTTAGGAAAACGAAATAATATTCAAATATATATGTTGTTTTGTGCAGTGAAGTTGAAACTACCGGACAGCTCATCGGCGGATTACCAGACAGTAATCGGTTATTTGGATGAAAGAATAACGTTAGACCAAAGTATAAAGCCTGGGGATGTCAACTACAACGCTGCTCTCTGCATGATGGCTTCTAAACTGGTCTATGAGAATGAAGCTCGCGTTACAAAGATTGTTAAGGATGTTTGGAAGGTACATAAACCATAATTAAAGGGTTGATCATGAATTTATAAATAAATAAATAATATAAAACACAGTAGACAATATTATATAATTGTGGAAGTTGTCAAATATTTTGTGTTGTTATGATGCAGATGGAATTTTTGGGATTTTTCAACTTTTGGAATGGTAACACCATATTGATTTTCCAGTTTGCTACGCGTGCATGTATTATTGTATGTGCATAAATAAATAATAAATGATGTGTTTTGAATTTGTATTTACTAGAATATCAAAAGAAACGGTCGACACAAGCATGCATGTTTTGGGATAAGAATCCTGTTTGTGACACCATCGTGGTGGCATTTAGAGGCACATCGCCCTTCAGTGCTTACGACTGGATCACCGACGTGGAATTGTCTTGGTACGAGCTGGAAGGGTTTGGAAAAGTCCATGCCGGGTTTATGAAAGCACTGGGCTTACAAAAGTCCGTTGGATGGCCCAAGGAAGTAAACCGAAAAGATAAAAACCAGCCTTTGGCTTATTACACCCTCAGAAAAAAGCTGACTAAACTTCTCAAAGAAAATGAGAACGCCAAGTTCGTGGTAACTGGGCACAGCCTGGGCGGCGCTTTGGCCGCACTATTTCCCTTTATTTTGGCGTTCCATCAGGAAGAGTTCCTGCTACAAAGATTAGAGGGAGTGTACACATATGGACAACCTCGGGTTGGAGACTCCAAATTTGGAGAGTTTATGGTCAAAACATACTCGCAATACAATATTGGTTTCCACAGATTCGTGTATGGGTTTGACATGGTCCCTCGGCTACCCCTGGATGACAAGGCCTCTATGTTCAAACACTTCGGACCCTGTATTTATTTCGACATCTTCTATAAAGCCAAGGTAATTCATTAATTAATCAATTAATAAATTAATTCTTTACAATCAAATCTAGATTGAAAAGAAAAACAAAACAAAACAAAATGCTTTTGGTGGGGCTTTCAGATTCTTGAAGAAGAGCCATTCAAGAACTATTTCTCAATGGTGGCAGCGGTGATGATGCGAACTCGTGCATTCATGGAGTTGGGAAGAAGCTTATTAATTTTTTGGATAAAGGGAAGGGAGTACAAGGAAGGAGTGCCTTTGAGAATGATGAGGGTGTTTGGATTGTTGGTGCCTGGAGTTAATGCTCATTGCCCTCAAGATTATGTCAACTCAACTCGGTTGGGTACCAAAGGCTTCCTGGTTTCACCTCCCTAAAGCCAGTAGGGGAGGATGTGAAGACTGAATGGGTTCCTTCTCATACATGAAACCAAAATATAATAAGTGTTATGTTAAATAATAAGTGTGATGAAATGAATATGATTCCAATAAATGTAACCGAATAAGGAGCCCTACTTGGGTACATAGTAAGTCTTTATGTTTCTTAAATTGTTGTGTTATGTTCAAGTGTTTGTGTGTTGTTACTATTTATGTTTCAAAACACATTTCAATGTTTCATTTTGTTGGTTTGTTCTTGGAAGTTGTGGTTTCAATTGTTTGCACATCTCTAAGGAATACTAATTTTATAAACTTATAATAACTCATATGAAAATATTTGCTAAAACTATCCGTCTAAATACGGGTGAAAGTTTTATATTTATGATGATCCACATAATCAAATAAATTACATATTATATGGAAATAATAATAAATGAATAGAAGATATATTCCTGTAACAAAAGGTAAATATGAAGAGATAAATATCTAGATATTTGACTGGAACAAATGATCAAAGATATTACAATAAAATAGAAGGCCAAAAATCCTTATTCAGGTAAGATATTTGCCTCTAATAAATGGTCAAATACGATATATATGATAAACCTTCCATCCGATTAAATATCCTTAGTAGTCTATTTTACTGAATCCATCCCGAATAAGGAAAGGATTCTTTGTTTATACAGGAAATGAGAAAGTGAGTGGAAAAAAAATTTCATTACATAAATGGGACTAGAGACAAAATTATATTCCATACCGATTTTCTTTCTTTCTTGGGGGGGGGGGGGATAAATTAGGTTTTTGGTTATGAACCAAGTCAAATTTTGTCCTTTGTTGATCATATTCAAAAGTAGATGCCAGAATCCAGCTCTAATTTATTGTTCTAAAACAAGTAATGATGAAGAACCAACCAAGTTACGAAGCTAAGCTAGTATGCAAATTTGTAAGACAGACCACAAAAGCTTCAGATGCTACCTGGAGAAATCAGGAAGCATGGCAGATGAACCAACGCTTAAGGGAACCAATCCACACGTGCTTGTGGAAGGGGAGAAAGTTGTTTGTGTTTGTGTTTGTGTTTGTGTCGTCAACTCTTTGGTTTCCATCGCATGCTGATGAGTTCCTCATTTTGTGTGCTTTCATCTGTGCCTTCCCCAGCTTCTTCAGTATCTTATCCATTGATGATGATCTCGCCCTTTCAAGTTTCATCTGAATCAACATCCCTCATCATCAGTCATTCAATTCCAATGAAATGTTGTAAGGGATTCTTTTCCCACAACAAAACAGAGTGAAACATGCAGATTTTGGTGCTAAAACTAAAACAGACCCTAACCTCCAGTTTGCGTATTGCAGCCTCAGCTTTGGCCTTCTGCAAATTCTCCCATGCTCTTATCTTGCTTTCTTCTCTCTGCAACCTAAACATTACAATTCCACTTAGACTCCATACATTCCAATAAAATAAACTCCACTTCAAAACATGTTGTAAACAACACCTACTTGGAAACCTGCATAGCTCCCGTAGCATTTTCATTCCTGTTTCCAAGGTGTGGGAAGTTGTCCCCTTTGGATCTCTGCATCTCCGTGGCTCCCCTGTCTACCTCAACATCTCTCACTTCTTGTTTACAACAATGCTCGCTCTCTTTTCCAACCATACATTGGTGTATTGAAGGGGATGAAGAGGGAAGTGAAGCATTCCCCTGAGGAGATGAAGGTGTGGATTCTTCAACACCGCTCATTTGGGTTGCCACATTCCGTTGTGAAACGACCCCCGAATCCATTGTCTTCTCGGAACCATCATATTTTTCATCTGTGGTTAGGTTATGATAACAGAGCCATAAAGAACATGTTAAGAACCACCAATCTCCAACTCAAAACAACTGTATGATAATACAGGGAGAAGAAAGAGATACCTTGAAAGCTTGGCAGTGGCGAGTTGTTCAGTAAATTTGACCATCTGGGTGCGGAAATTAATGGTTGGATGGTACACTCTGGATAGGATTGTCCCCTTTCAATGCTACCGCCATAGCAGATAGAAATCCCATCAGCCACCAACACGCCAGTGGAAAGAGCAGAGCCCAGTTTGGAGGTGGCAAAACCCCTGTTCTCGGGGGGTGTCGTAATACAAAGTTCTGACGATCCCTTTGGTCTTCTCTGTAGGTGAGACTGCAAACCCCTGCCGAAGCCGCTTCCCGGGCTACTAATCCATCGCTCAGCATCCTCCCATTTGGAGGGCGGCATCCTACCGTAAAAGGGTGAGAAGGCAGCGACAGAGGCATTCCTCCGCCGGGTGTTGCTATTAGGATGAGGTATTCGCTCGGAGCTACAACCCCTTTGGTTCATTACATTGATTTCCCAGTAATTTGGAACTCCGGGACTTGGAAACGCACTGAAATTGTAGGAAGAACTGCAAATTCTTTCCTTCATTGTGAACAGTACAACACAGTAACAGTAAAGAGTCACAAGGGTCTCTGCGTCTCTATCGATAGAATTCCGGTTTCAACACTATTCTTCCGTCCACTTTTTGTGGAATATACCTGCGGTCTGGGGGGTATCTGGAAACTTCGTTTTGACGGGAGGCCAGGCCAGGCCAGGAGGTAGCAGCGCAGCGATCTAGCTTTCCTTGGGTTGCTATAAATTGGAGTGAATTAGCAGGAAGGAAGGAAGGACACGGCCACATTCGGAATCACATCAGATTTATGAGAAACTAGTTTGCCTGAAAGTGGAGGAACTTGGCATCCAGAATGATGGGAATCCTGCAAAGCACTTCAACCAATTCGGAGTTAAACTTTTTCTTGCTTTGTCGTACATCTAGGCCTGACGGATTGATGGATGAATGGTGTTAAAGCTTTGGGTAAGTTGAAGAGATGGGTACATTTCCAACGTTTAGTTTCAATCAACAATTTGTTTTATAGCAATTTTGTGTTAGTTTACAGTTTTAAGAAGATAAAGTTCATTTCTTTTTTCTTTTGTGTGGGGGTAATCTAAAAAAACTGGAAAAGATTGAATTGATGGAGAGAAAGATTTGTTTTTTGTTCTCTGCCTCCGCCAATGCTTTCGGTGCAAATATATTATTGAAACACTAAAAAGAGGGTTCAAATATGGGCTTCTTTCATTGCCCCCCCCTCACATGCCATTTCTTCTAATTTTTGTTTTGTTTTTTTTAAGGAATCTTACAAAGTACACATTTTTAATTTAGTTCCAAGTGTGATTAAATACTGCCTACTATTCAGAAGTAATTTTGTGTTTGACTTCTTTCTTATTACTTTTGGCACTTTACCATACTTATTAAACATTAGCATATGAAGAAGCTATTAGTAGAGGAGAATTGGTTATTAAGTATGCATGTCAGGGATTAATAATATAAGATAAATAAGTGTTCTTATCACTAAAATAAAAAAATTTTAAATGGATGGATTTCCATGTGCAAATAGAGACAAAGTAAAAGAGGCAGAGAGTTGACATGACCTCAACATATATTATCATCAATCTTCATCAATGTTGTGTATTTTAGCTGCAACAATGTTTTTGAGTGGCTAAATATGGTGGAATACTTGGACAATGTGAGTCAACAAAAAGCTCCTTGTGCACAAAAATTAAAATACACCGGATCTAATAATTCACCCTCCTCAATGATTTAGCGTCCTCATTGGCATACTGTCCTATATCTAGTTTCGATACCATTTGTAACAACTCAAGTTTACTATTAATAGATATTGTTCGTTTTAGTTATCACGTATCGTTATTAGTCTCACCATTTTTAAACTGAGAATCTAACACATGTATAAAAATGAATGCAAGTTGGTCGGTTATTTGTAGGAAATAAATGGAGTAGTGTGTGTTGAGAGAGGAGGAGGTGCATGTAAGTGTAAGAAGGTGATAGGAAAGATAGATAGGGGTGCAACCCTTTGGCCTTGGGACATGTGCAATGTCTATTCCCTGTTCTCTATAACAGACAAAAATCATATGACTTCAATTATTGTTTCATTTTTTATAAACACACACACTCTCTCCAACTTTCAGTTTTTAGTTACTACAAAGTTTTTAACTTTTCTTTTTTTGTTCAATCATTTGCATTACCCATTCAACCCAACCCCCTATCCTATCATCTCTATGATTTTGCATTAAAGTAAATGGATTAAATACAAGACCAGGGACTTCATATCTAATCTTTTATTTTCTTTATAAAGTTTGTTGTCGCTTCCTGTACCTTCCTTCCAGTGTGATACCAAGGATTTGAAGCTAAATGAATGTCAACACCATGACCAGGCCATGTTACTTGGATCCGACCTAACAAGACAAACTTGATCTGGGTCAGAAGAGTACGTTAGCCCAGCATCAGAGGCCCATTTGGCCCATACCATCATTTTTCTATGCGTCTTCCTCCACTGCATTTAATACAAACAGGACAGCGGCGGTGGAGGTGCCAAAATAATGATATCCCCAACTATTTCGTTTCGCTTTTCCAATGCCTTCCAACCTTATCTACTTGTAAAAACATCCCACTTTATTTATTACAACCCACGTGCGTAAAATATTAAATAATGATATATTCTAAAAAAGAAAAAGAAAGTAATTTGAATATGGTTTGGTTTAATCATATACAATGTGGGTAAGAGAATTGAACTTTTTTTCCTAATTTATATTTTGTCATGTTTAATTATTGTTATTCAATAATTTGCAGAATAAAATTCAATAATTCAACTTGAATGGTCCAATTCTAAGGAATTATTAATTTTGGACCATTTTAAAATAATTGTAGTTTAACATTTCCAGCCACTAATTTTGGTCTTATGGTACCTCTCTTCCGACGATTTCAACTGTTTGAACTAATTTTCTGGGGAAAATTTCACCAGAAAAGAAAAAACATGAGGACATATAATCCAAAATATAAGATTTTTACTTTTAATTTCCAGACGCTAAACGACAGCCCCCTTTGGTTGCATGGAATGTCATGGTCGTTTGGGTGTCCCACGCTCCCGCCTCTCCCAGAAACCCCCTTTCTTGCTTCTATTTCTGTGATTCCAATTGGATTGGAGTGAGACCCAATTCTTAAAAACAAAAAATAAAAATAAAAATACATGTAACCTGGATTCAAAATTCACAAAATAATTTAATATTTCTTCATTTCTCATTTATGCCTATTATTCGTATACATTCATACATACATACATCATACATGAACGGATCCTTTTTCCATTGGTGTATTATACATATATATATATAAATAAATATAAAATAGTAATGACTGTGGGTGTGAAACAAATTTGTAACCCAAGACCTTGAAATTTTAAAAAGAGGCAAAATGAGGAATCTTGGCAGATGGGGGATTGGGATGCCCTTACTACTATCACCCACTAACCGACTCTGCCAGTTTCCCGATTCTTTCCACCAGCTCTGGAGACAGCTTCTTTGCCGGTTTTCGTTCCTTTTCGGGTCGATGATCGAACCCCAGAGCGTACGACACTTCTTCGGAGCTCCATCCCGCTTTTCGGAGAAGCTCCGAAAACCGATCCGTTTTTACGAGCAGAGCGTCTAGAACCGCCTGGTTGTCCACTATGACCATCGCTCCTTCGAAGAATCCGGAGGCTGACACTTGTACCATCTCTGAAATGTCCGTTTCGCTCCATCCCCCTTCTCTCAGTCTCGATCCTATTTCTTCAATGTAGTCCTTTACCCATTTCGGAATTCCCGATCTCGGCATCTCGAATACCCTATCCGGCGATGAACACGCCGACGACAACGAGTTTCTCCGCCGCCGATCAACGGCGGCGTCGCTCCAGAACTCCACCCACCTCGGCGTTCTTGCTCCGGTGTCCAGGCTCCGTCGCGAGAAGTTAGAGGAGCCGGCCGATTTTTCACTGATGGACCTTTGGTTTTTGAGAAAGTGGGCATCAGATTCGGAGCTCCGAATAAGGAATTCCCGCTCGAAGAAATCGGATAGATCCAGACCGCAAAAGGAGATCCGATTCTCATCGACGGAGAAGATTGGGTTCCCCGCCAGTGATGGGTTGCAGGGAATGTAGCAATGACTGAAGAGGGGAATCAAAAGAGGCGCTCTCTTCAGAGCATTTCTCGAAACCCGTAGTGCCTTTTCCGGGTCTAAGGGCCTCGGACCCCATGACTTGGACCAGAACGTATTCTTCGCGATTTGGAAACTGATGGCCGCAATTGGAAAATCGAGCGTGGCTCTAAGATGCTGCCTGGCGCCGGAAGCTCGCCAATCGGGGAAGCCAGGACCCACCGGCAAACCAGCGGACAGTACGGCTCGGAGATCCGGAGGGAAAACGAAGCCAAACTCAGCCTCGGCTCGAGCGAACTCGGCGACGGAGAGGCCCGGTTGCACCTGGACGCCAGTGTTGCGCATATGAGTGATGACCTTCTCAGCCAGAGAAGCGAAGGAGAGAAGGCCGGCGCGTGCAGGGTGAGAAGGAGTAACGGCAGCAGCACGGGCGGAGAGGCGTCGGAGTCCGGCAATATGTGCCGGATTGAGACCGGCCATCCTACTGTCAACATCCACCATTGAATGGAGCAGTAACAAACAGAAGAAGAAGAAGAAGAAGAAGATGGGAAGAATTTGGGGAGAAACAGAAGGTGAGGTACTTATAGAGGTAGAGGGCGGAGAGGAGAGGTGTAGTGTGGGTGTTAAATGTTAATGCTTTCTTTTTCTGTACTGATTTAATTATATTTACCTCATAAAAATAAAATTAAAAAAATAAAAGCAAAAGGAAATCAGTTGTACCGTTGAACGTGATACGCAACTGAAAACAACCAGAAACATGTGATTGGCACGTGAAGTCGCGTTACAAGAAAGCCCCAATTATATCATTTTCACACATTACAATAACATGTATTTCTTGAAAAGCTTTTTTGATCCAAACTTAGGGTTGCCATGAAAAGAAAGCGTATGAATTAGATTTGTAGGGGCTTAGCTTTTACCGTATATTATGAACCAAATGTGTAATAAATACTAGCATCACCTAACATATTTTCTTTAATTATAAATTCTAAAAATAAATTGTTTTTAAATTTTTAATATTGTTTTTCTCACTAAATTTATATTCATTTTTAATATCCCAACTCAATCCTACAAAATAAAGGATTTGAATTCTTCATCTTCACACAAACTTTTTAATAATTTCCTTAAGACTTAGAATACATTCAAGTTGTTATTAAAAAATTATATCGTCCCTTGTGCTTCGCTAAGCAACTTATTTCACAGTAGATGTCTTGGCATCATGTCTGGAATGATACGGAAACCACACCTTTTTCATTGCTTAAAACTTTAATTGAATTGAATTAGAATATAAGTAGGAGGGTATGATGGTAGGCAACTTGAATAATAATAATAAATTCATCAATTATTATGGTACATTTATACCTCCATAGACATAAACATATTGTTGTTGTTGGGTTACCAAATCCTTAGTATTCTTGTTGTTGGCAATATGGAGTTTTTAATTCTTCAAGATAATTACACAGAGTGTATGTTACAAACCCATTGTCTTTATTATATTTATGAGCATGAATGAAGAGTAGTTTGATAGTTATTTAAAAACTATTTGAAGTAGGTGGGCAATAATAGAGTTCAGGTTGGTGTGATCGTGTATAGAGTGGGTTGAATCCATTGAGCTGCTTCGATTTTCAGTAGGAACAGGCGTGATTGTGAAAGTGAGATGGGAATGTGTGTGTGTGTGTGTTGAAAATGTTAAGAAAATTACTCCAAAACTGAGTGGAAAGGGGGATGGAAGGAACATTCCATGCAGAAGAGAGCTTCAAGGCTTCAAAGGGGAACTGACAGCAAAGGTACCAATTCAAGCACCCCAAATGGTTTTGGTTAGCCTTTCAAAAACATGCTGTTTAAGCGTACTATCATAATCAACATCAGCACCTCTCCTTGTTTAAGCCGAACCCATAAAAACGGTCAAAGTCTACCGCTACTAGATATTGTGTATCTTCTCACATTTTCGTTTGAGAAAAGAAAAATGATGAAATAAACTTGGGAAAAAAGGCAGAACGGCGACAGGTCAGCATGACCAGGTCCAACCAAAGTTGAAGTCTTTACCCCCTGGCCTACCACCAACCCCAACCCGACGCTCCCTAAATTCCCCTTTTAGTCCACTCCCTTAAGAAATCCCCATTCCAATTGCTCTCTCCGGCGAGGTCTCCGGACCCCCGGCTGTGCAAACATGTCGGATACTGACGATCTCCGCTCACCGCCTCCGGCCTTGGCACGGCCTTTCCCACTCTACAAGCACTTGTCTTGGTCGCCGGATGCGGACCGTGAGGAGGCCTGGCTCCGCCGCAAAACCCAAAGCAAGATTCGGCGGAGCAAGAGCGTGACCGACGATGACTTCGAAGAACTCAAAGCCTGCGTTGAGTTGGGGTTCGGATTCAACTCTCCGGAGGTGGACCCTCGACTCTGTGAAACTTTCCCGGCGTTGGGCTTTTACCACGCCGTCAACAAGCACTACTATCGCACTCTCTCGAACTCGTCGGCGTCTCTCTGCTCTTCCCCTGTTTCGGATTTTCTCTCTCCCTCTGCCCAGAGTAGCCCCGCCGCCATAATCAGCCTCGGTATGTTACCTTCTTTACAACCCTTGAAATTGAATAGTGAAAATTGTAAGAATCCAACGGTCTTGATTTTACTTTTGTCTGTTTGGGTGTCGGGAAATTTCGAACTGGGTTTTCAGGGGAGAATCCGCAGACGGTGAAAGCAAGGCTGAAGCAATGGGCACAGGTGGTTGCTTGTTCAGTACGGCAGTATTGATTATTGCCGATCAATTCATCACAAAATTTGTATCATGTTTATTTTTTTTCTTCCCAAACTTCCGTTCTGGCTTGACTACAGATTCTAATCAACACATACACATTTAATCCTCAACTATCCAAGTTCCTTTTTTTTTCTTGAATTCTCTGTTTCTCAAATTCCGAAAGTCAAATCGACTCCAAAGATATATATTAACATATTATATTCAGCGAACACAAGGAATTGACAGAATGTGGAGGCAGCTGCCTCTTCCTTCCTTTTGAAATCATGTAGATATTCTTAGGAAAAGCTTCCTAGTTAAGCTAGCTGAATGAAGCTTATGAAGCAGTGAATTATTGATTTGGAAAAGTCTTGTTATGATGAATGAGAAGCAGGACAATGAAAAGGATCTTTACCCTTGTATAACAAACTGATAAATTGATGTGGGTAACAATCTTCTTTTGGCTATTTGTTCAATGAAAAGGATCTTTACCCTTGTATCCAAACTCGTTTGTGCACCTTACCTCAATATTTTCTCTGTTTTTAGAGCATTTTGGGCAGTGGTTTCCAGACCACTAATGGGGCTTTGATGGATGTAAAGTCCAATTGGACCAATTCTGGGGCTACCGACAATATATAATACCCACCATGCAGAATAGCTATCTATTATTACATTAATTCTATATTCTTCACATATTTTAATGGGTATTTTTAGGTTGGCGATCAAAGCTGATATCATATTTGCAAATTGTTCTTAAATAATTTGTAAATATGGTGTCACACTCCGTATTTAGAGGTATCCAAAGACTAACCGACCATTCAATGTAGGATGAAAAAAACCATGGAAAACTATCATAAAATTTGGCCGGTACTGACTGGGTAATCTAGCAAACCCATCAAGTCGGTGCCTCACACCTAGAATGGCCGGTACTGACTGCTCTGGCACTGTACTGACTGACTATGGGCCTGAAAGGCTACTTTTTGGCCATCTTCAAGGTGATTTGACTGTCTTGACATAGATTCATGTGTAGGGAGCACCAAGAGCATCACCCTCTAATTATGTTTCATGATTCTATTGCACTCGGACTACTTAAGGCGTTCCATCCTGAATCACAATCCAACTAAATTGACGTTCTCATCCTAGCTTTAAATTGTTCCTACTTATTCTCTACAAGGGGAATCACACATTGAATTACCTAAATTAATGTTACAGTCAATTATACCTACAATCACGCACACGTTGAATAGAGCGAAGTTCCATTTAATTTGATTAACGTACACATTTTCTTTCAGTCAAAAGCATACAATTTTCATTTCTAAAAATTGCATCACTTTAGTACAAATTCTGTCAGTCAAAGCATAAAAATTAATGGTAGATGGTTTTGAACTCTTCGGTCATATGGGCTTGAAGATCCATTCAAAATCAAAATTCGAGTGCAAGTTGAAGCAACAATAATTAAAAGAATTAATGTCACAAATTTCAATATCACAATGGGAAAAGGAAAATAAAAGGATCTTTCTTTAAAGTCAAAACAGGGAATATTAATTAATTCACATATGTTTCACATTTGGAACAAAATTTTCGGTTCTGGGTCAACTCTTGTTACTTAAAATATGTAAGATGAAAGGACAGAATTTGAATCTGTAAAAATATCTGACAATCAAACTCGAATGTTGTAAGGATTGTTTGAGAAGGTTTTAAGAAATTTCTATTTTGGAAAAATTGGTGGAATTAAATGCTTCTCAAAGCAGAAAAAAACCAGCACACACCTGTCTCGTCTTTCTGCGAAAATGCTTTTTGATTGAATACGATGATGTTTCAAAAGTCAATTTCCTAAGTTTTCAGATTCATAATAATGCATCCATACATTATTTAGGTAATAATCATGAATTTATTATACGTTTTCGTCGGAAATAATTAATAGTTAATTATATTGTCATTTAGTTTAAGCAATTATGGATAATTCATACTGGCTAAGCTAAGCCGAAGCCATTGCCGACAGTTTTGTGGAACGATCTTTGGAAAGTTTCCAACATATTCTAATATTCTTAACTGTTTGAATGGTTGAATAATCTGTATTCTTTAAATTGAATTATCCTCCACGGTAGGCGCTTTTAATTGACTCTGAAACAATGCACAATACAATGCTTTTTTGATCTGTGAATGTTTATATGATATCATTGGTGACACCCCCGTTATATATATTGATGAATGGTGGGGGTGATGGGGATATGTTTGGTTGCGTACTTTGTCAAAAGGTTAGGCAAAAAGTGGAATAGAAAGGGAAAAAAACGTCAAAAGAGCAGAGGCGGAGGCAGCCTCCAGGTCTGGGCTGGGCTGGGCTGGGCTGGGCTGGGCGGGCATTCCAATTCCACGGAGAGAGATGTGGAGGCGGTGGCAGCGTGGGCGTTGGAATTTGATGCCCATCACATTGACCTTATAATATATAATATATATATATATATAGAATTCCACAAGGCTCGGCTTGGCTTGGGTCGTTTTGGTATGGGGGTGGGCGTCAAAACTACGACCAACAACATGTTCAAAACAATGTGCTGTCCAAATCCCACATTCACACAATGGTGTCTGGTATTTTCAGCGCCCCCCTCTTGGAGTTTGGTGACCTCCTAACATTTCTCTTACTCTACTTCATACAGTTTGGTTGTTTCTGGTAAAAAAAAAAAAAAAAAAAAAAAAAAAA